CTTCACAACAGCGGCTAGGGTTGTTGCGCCGCCGCCGGCCAGGCCAAGCCGTCGCCGCCCCCGCCGGCTAGCTTCCCTCCTCAGCTCCTCCCGCCCCTCAGTCCACCCCGGCCCTCAGCCCCGTCCCTCAAAGTTCGATGCCGACGCTCACGGTGAGCCCTCCTTTCTGCATCTCTTTGTTTTTCTTCATGCTTGAATAATGCTATAATATGTCGACATTTCATCAAACAAATTCTGTCTAAGGGCAGTACAAACATTTCAACACACAACAGTTTCTAGAATCTCAAACTACAATCTCTGAAAAGAACTCGATAACAGATTCTGGGAGAATTTTCGAGAACCTTGATTCTGTAGAATCTTGCGTGAAAAGAACTGGCCCCTATGGGTTTGGGGGTTGGGAAGATGGAATTTGCGCATGCTGACAAGATGGCTCGGCAGTACCAATATCTGCTATCTAATGTGCCTAATCAGAGTGTGATTCCAATTTTGCGAAACTTCCGGCCAGTTTTGGGAAGCTTCTAGAAGACCGGGGTTTTCTTTTTCTGGTTTTCTGAACGCCTTTTATTCCTTTTTCTTTTCTTTACCTTTTTATTTTTATTTCTCAGTTTCTTTTCCCCTTTTTTAAAAAAATGCATGAAGCTTTTCAAATTTGAATACATCTTTCAAATTCATGAACTTTTCTTCGTGAACTTCTTTGCTGTTTTGAGAACATTTTTACTTAAAATTGAGATTTTTTTTCAATTTTCCATCAAATACACGAATGTTTTTCAAATATGCAAACATTTTTTTCCGAATTTGTGAACTTTTTTCCTCACAGTCGTTAACTTTTTCAAAATTCACAAAACATTAAAAGTTTTTTTAAATCCGTGAACTTTTTTGTCAAAAGCATGAACTTTTTTATATCCACGAAGTATTTTTTAACTCGTGAACATTTTTCAAATCCACGAATTTTTTTGAATCCCACAAACTTTTTTTCTGAACATGTAAACTTTTTCGGGTTTGCTGACTTTTTTCAACTCCACAAACTCTTTTTGGACTCGTAACTTTTTCGAGTTCGTGAACTTCTTTTAAGACCTGATTTTTTTTAGATTCGTGAACAGTTTTTGTGAATTCCTTTTTTTTTAATAATCACAATTTCTCAGAAAGGTCGACGGTCATTGGTGGACCGGTCAACCGCGACCAGCGAACCAGAAAGATCGAAGCTGTTCCGATCGAGCCCTCGGAGGCAGTCTCCTTCTCCAAGACCCAACTCGATGCGTGGCAACGCTGGCAGAGTTCGTCCTTTGCAGCTGCCGGCCAACCCCATCCTCTCGAGGCCACGCGCCGGCACGACCTCACCCGCGACGGCCAACGAGCTGATGACACGCACGTCGCACCGGGCGGCGAATCAGTCGTCCACGAGGCACTCCGGCCTTCTCGAGCACTTCCCTCTTGAGTCTTGACGAAGGCCGGATGGTACCAAAATTCTCCCGTGTAACTGAAGGAATTTCGGTGACCGACATTGTACGGCGTGGCCGGCGCCGGCTTGCCGTGATGGGTGACCATCGTGAACCGGACATGGGCGCTGTTCCAGTGGCTGACGTGCTCGGTGGCGAGCTTGAGGGCGAGAGAGATACAATGTGCAGAGTGTCAGGCATAGCTCGGAAGCATCTTGGGGGAAACAAGCCATGATCCATAAGCTCAGATATGCACAGCAGTAAAGCGATTTTAGTCAAATTGGGTAATCAAAGGTTTTTATTTTAAATCATCAGCTGATAACCGTACAGAGAATTTGAACTCCAGCAGACCACGAGACACTAGCGCACACCATGACTAGAATACAGCCTGTGATCACATAGAACAAAGCTGTCTGTTCTAATTTCAGCAAAAGGGAGCCTTGCCCAAACCAAACGTATAGCCAAACACATTCAGACATTCTGCTTAGGATGAACATCCATTTCAGTGTACAGTTGTTCCGTACGTTCTGTTTCAGAGGCAAGCTTCAGAAGCCCTGGGCGCCACCACCGGCACCCCACACTCATACAAATTCACTAACTACACATCACAACAATGGAGCGAGCAGTATTATGTACAGTTCCATCACTTCATCCTCTTCCTGTAGTTTGCTGTATGTTTAAATTAACAACAAGGCAAAAAAAGGCACACAGGTTTTAACTTAAACAAGCTGCGCGACGGCGCGTGCGGAGTCGCTTTGTTCATGCCCTCTCTTCAGAACTTCGGTGCTGATTTCTCCGGTAGCCGACAGAAACAAACGAACCTGCGGAGAAGAATAGGTTAGTGCTACGACGACTAGCATGCCGATGCTTTGCTTTGTTCTAAAGAATATGTAAGCGCGGGCGAGGAATCTGCCCTGGTTTTCAAACCGCCTTTGGTTTCTTTTCATCTGCGCGTGGTCATCTGATGATGCCCTAACACCTACCGAATAACCAACTACGATTAAGAAAGATAAAGGTGCTGAACTAACTGAAGTATGTTTCTTATGGCCGACATTTGGATGATTGGTGTTGAAGGAGTAATAGAACTTATAGAAGAGACCTTGATGCTACCAGTATTAGTATGCAACGTATCTTAGAACAGTATCTATTCAGTATACAAACAGTAAGCATCAAGCAAGTCTGTTCAACATTCTGTGCAGGGTCTGAATTTTGTAAGACAAATTCCGTCAACTTGAAAGAGCAGCCCTTCCTTTTGCTGTAAAAATACAGCGTTCGGTTCCTAACCCACGCTTTCATTAGGACTATGGTGAAGTCCACCGACTGGCAGTTGAAGCATGAATAGTCTGAGGAGTAGCTGAGAGCAATTACCTGACGTCGATGCTGAGACATACCCCCCATCAATTCCTCTGGCTCTTGAGCTTGGCCTCAACCTCAGCGAGAGCCTTCTTCACGTCCTCGTTCTCGGGGAGCTCTTGGATCAGCACCTGGTAGTCTCTCAACGACGCCTCCCACCTCTCCAGCTGAACGAGCATACACACAAAAATTCAACAAATCTGACGAAAAACGAGCTCGATCGCGCAATGCAGCAGAAAGCATGTGAAAACGGAAGACCTTGACGTTGCAGTCGGCTCGCCGGAGGCGGGCCTTGCTGTAGCCGGGCCGCACGGCGAGCGCGCCGCTGCAGTCCTCGACGGCCTTCTCGTGCCGGCCGAGCTTGGCGTGGCACGCGGCGCGGTTGCAGAGCAGCACGGCGCAGCCGGCCTCGCCCTTGTCCAGGCCCTCGCCGTAGGCCGCGCACGCCTCGGCGAACCTGGACGCCTTGAAGAGGTCGTTGCCGCGCTGCCGCGCCGTCGCCACCGCCTTGGCCCGCCGGTGCACGCTCGCGGCCTCCCGGCTGCCCGGGTCCAGCTCGCACGCCGCCTGCGCCGTCGCCACCGCCTCCTCCAACCTTCACGAGTTTGTTTGCGTACATCAGAACAGAAGACCAAGACGTGCATTTCGCCAAGCAGTGCCATGCATGCCACTCGGGAGGAAAACAAGTTTTGCGGTGAAAAATGTTCACGGGGTCACAAGCAAACAGACCTTCCGGCGGCCATGTCGACCAGGGCTCGGACCATGAGGACGTAGGCGTGGGCGGTGGTGCCGAAGAACTTGGTGGACTCGTCGGCGCCGAACCTGGGCGCGCCGCGGAGCGCCGAGTCCGCCTCGTCGTGCCGCTGCAGCTTCAGCAGCGCCTCCGCTTGCAGCGCCATCACCTGTCGGATAGGTCAAGTTCGTACGTCGTGTCAGCCACTAACGCACGTACGTCATGTTGGTCGCGCAACGTTGACGCCACTACAGGAGGCGATGGCGTGCTCGTTTGGCACTGGGTACTGACCTGTGGGGAGCAGTCGGCGCCGTCGGAGACGGCGGCCTGGGATTCCTGCAGCACCGTGATCCAGTCCCTGACCTTGCGCGCGTCGCCGCACTTGGCGATGCGGCCCTTCACCGACTGCGCGCGGGAAACGTCCGCGCTTACAGAGTCCATGGGCGACTGCTTCAGGTAGTTTATGGCCTTGTCTGGTTCTCCTAATCTGACAACGAACACGTAACCATTTATTAGTGAGTATATAATCGATCATCTCATCATTGATAAATAAACGTCTTACATAGTACATCACAATTCTTGGTCCGTTTAATAGTTCACCGTGCGAGTAACTGAGAATTGACATGGATTATTATGGAACTCTTGGTAGATGTAGCATGGTAGAGTGCAGTGCAGACAAATGAAATGAAGGTGGACTTATTCTCTATCATCTTGCAAGGTTTTAACTAGAAGTATACCAATCATTGTCTTGAAAAAGATGGGTAAGAAGGCTTGTTGAGCAAGTGATTAGCCACTGAAAGCGCCAATCATGGATGAAAGTTCACAAAGTCCCAGAGTGATTTGAGGAGGGAGGTTTTGCGTATGCTAGACCTGATAAATAAACCAGCCAGTAACCGAATGTTGATAGCATAGATTAAGCAGCACATGTAGACTGCGGATCAAGGAATCCAGGTCCTAATTATCAAAAAGGGCTATTCCATTTCTTCCGGGGAACGTTAGTCGTTTCCTATAGCAATAATAATCCAGCTACGCCGATGATATGTGTATGCAAAGCAGCCACGCCATTATCTAATTCCCCAACCTGTTCGTTAAGGAATTAACTAGCATTTGGTTGCTAGCTAGCCACCGTCGAGCACACGTAGTGGCTCTCCACGAAACGCCACTAGGTGTAGGTGAGTTCAATTCAAGTTGCAAAATTATTATCTATCATATCACTGCACGTTTACACATAAATTTCCTTGATTATCAGTTCAGTCAATTGGCCACCACGGTGAAATTTCTGTAGAAACTACTCGCGTGATCGATCAAGTCACCATTTGATGACAGTTATGGCAAATTACGGGAGATAATTAGCAGCTGAGAACGGCCGCGCATTTTGCATTGAATTGCATTGCGTCAATAAACCAATCGGATTAGGGGTGGCGATCAATGCGTGCGCCCGAACGAACGTACGTACCTGAGATACAGCCCGCCGAGCCGGTGGTGCGCGCGGCCGTAGGAGGGGTCGATCCGGACGGCCTCCTTGCAGTCGGCGACGGCCTCGACGAGGCGGCCGAGCGCGGCCAGCGCGGCGGCCTTGTTGCTCCAGTACGCCGGCCGCGTCGGGTCCATGATGATGGCCTGGTCGTAGAGCGCCACCGCCTCCGCGTAGTGCCCCTCCCGGTACTCCTCGTTGCCCATCTCCTTGAGCTTCTCCGGGTCCGTCCGGTGCGACAGCGCCCGGCACAGCTGCTCGCCCGGCTTGCCCACGATGTTCCCCATGCCGGAGAAGGCGTACCCGTTGCTCCCTGGCCCCGCCTTGGCCCGATCGCTCGCGGCCGCCGCCGCCGCCTTGGTGCTGCGATCCAGCGAGCTGCGGGCGGACGCGCCGGCGTTCAGGTTGCCCAGGTTGCGGTGCATCATCATGTTGCCGGAGGTGGCGCGCATCATCTGCGTCGTGCCCTTCACCCTCTGGTGGTCCTGGATCATCTTGTCGAGCTCCGCGGCCATGCCGGTGTACTCCACGGCGGGCGACGCCGCCGCCGCCTTCGCCCCGCCGTTCATCGCCCTGGTCGGCTTGCTCTTGTCGCCCGACGGACGCTGCGCCTGGGCCTGGGCCGCCGCCGCGCCGTTGATCTGCGGCTGCAAAGGCATTACCTTGGGGCGGGGCACGAGGGAGGAATCGTCGCGGACGCCGGCCTTCCGCTGCGCCGGGTTCGGCGGCGCGGCATCGCTGTCGGCGGCGGCGGCCTGCGGGGACCCGTTGATCCGGGAGAGGGAGGACATGGAGGCGGAGCGGCGGCGGCGGAACATGCCGCTGTAAATGCCGAACATGGCGCAGCCGGACGGCGCGCGCCGCGACTCCGTCATGGCGACGGCGAAGTTCGCGGTCGCTCAGCGGTTGGGTCTGCGCGTCGTGCGCGCGGGGAAGGAAGGGTGAGGATCGAGCCAGGGAAGGGCAGGAGGAGAGGGATGGCCGTTGGCTCCTGCGCGCAGTCTTGGTCGGCAGCGAACGCGAACTTGGGGCAGGAATGTGGGGAGCATGGGGAATTTAAATGGGAAATATTACACGAATCCCCTTGTCTTTTTCGGGGTTCATCTCGTGGGCCCTTCTGGTGTAAGTTCTGTTTCTTTCCTTTTTCTCCTCCAACTCACACGTACTACACCTGTTTCATATAAGCATTTCTTCTTGTTGATTAACAATGGAAAATAGTGAAGAGAAAGAGAGGGAGAGGATTGACCCCTTTGGTGAAGAGTTTGCTCCTGCACACACAAGAGGTTGTCATTTATTTATTTACTTTGCGAAAAGAGAATGTTATATGAGTTAGTTGCACTGGTATATAACAAAAAAAATATGGAAGGGAACGAATGAAACATGGAGGCAGGTGCACCCTTTTTTAAAGTAGTGATTTAAAAAATGTCAAAGCAATCATGAAATTTGTTGGCAACAATCTTCATAAAACGTTACTCTTGCGTAAATTTTTTGGGGACGAAATGAAATTCATTGTACTGTTGGTGAAAAAAAAAGACAAAATCAACACTATTAGAGCTAATACTCACTCTATATTGTCCTGGACAATTTGTTTTTATGCTCAGATTTTCTATGGAGAATTTTTGTTGTCAATTTTTTTATGAGTAGGCCAACATGTCAAATTTGTTCTGAAAAAGTTCCCAAGATTGTTAACTCTTTCCTGAACTACTAAAAAGTATCCCAGAAATAGTTTATGGGGTTCATCTACAACTAGTTGTATCCTGGTATTTTCCAAAAGAAAATATTGACTATAGTGTGGAAGGCACAAGACGAGGCAATCTTTGCTACTCTTTTTTTGAACCATCGACAAGCCTACAAACCTCAGCAATGCACACACAACGATAAGAGTTCGGGGACTTGATGAACCGAAGACTTTAACACCCAACTCACTATACTTGACACTAGGGATGCAAGCGGCAAACTAGTTTAGTTCTGGCCGGAAGATTGACACTAACTAGAGCTGGATTTGTACTAGGTTGTAGCCATCAGACCCGTCCGCTCTGCATCCCTACTCGACATCCATCATCAGAGAGGTGACCTTTGAAACCGCCGCTTCAACTTTCACAACCGGCCCCAAGGACAAGCACCTACCTAGCCGAAGATGCAACGAGAAAGACAACATAAGCCATTGTCGTCTAAAAGAAGACATGACCTCCAAGACGATGCTCCCAAGAGGGAAGTAACTTCGCTGACGCTCGCCCCAGCCAAGGTCAAAATTAGTGTTTTCACCTGAAGAGGTCGAGATCCAAATGACGTAGGAGGTGAATGGGCTCCATGGTGATGCCTCCAAGGAGGTCGCCCTCATCGTTAGTGTCTGAAGTGGGTGCTAGGCTTTCACTTGGAGCTCAACAACGAGATGCCATAGTGAAGGATCAAAGATGTGCTAAACATTGACAATAGGTTGGGAAAAATAGGTGACTACCAAATTTAGTATTTTCTTAGTTGATTTTAGAGGTTAGTGCGGAAATATAAGTTTTCTATGAATGCAACTAGGTGATAGACCATATATGATGTGTTATAGTAAACTATCAAACTATACAAGGCGGACGAGCAACCAAGTAATTACACAACGTAAAGCTAGGGTAAGAGACAACCGAAAGCTGATGTAGACGAATATCTAATCCAAAGTTCATACTCTTGTGGAGTGCTAATCTCTGCTGTTGGGGAGGATGCCCCCATAAAACCGAATGTCTCACCTAGGTCTTTGAGAACTTTGGTGAACATATACCCCGGTTCCCTCTCATTAGGAATAACTCTTCAGATCCAAACCCTCAACATGAACATGGGGCACAACCCCACAACTTGGAAGCTCCCAAGTGAAACAAACTCACCCAAGGTTTCCACAAACCAAAGATTAACAAATTACGCAAGGAACCTAGGGGATTCAAGGTTGGTTTATTGAATTGCAAATCTAGGTATCCTCTTTCTTTTCCTCTCAAGATGTAGGCTTTTGGTTGGCTAAAGTGGGAATGTGAGCTTGGAGGTGATCAGCAATAGGGGCGGAGAGATATTTTGACGACCTACCCTCGACGGGAGGCCTTATATGAAAAATGATTGTTGTTGCTTTTTTCCGGTGATTTTGTAATCTCTGAAAAAGCCGGAGGTTCTGGACTCATGATCTGGCAAGGCCGCACAACCCTCGTGGCCTAGGTCGTCCACCGCTAGCTGGCGAGAGAAGGCACCAAAGTGCACCACCAAAGCCGACGCCTCCCACGCAAGGAGGCATGCCAGCGATCTCATCTTGCGGCCGTTTGCCTTGACCTCCTTGCACTAGCACGTCGAAATATTCGCCACTGCTAATCGCAACTCCCCAACTATGATGCTAGCACTCCGCACCATCACCAGAGCGCGCCACGACGAGTGCATCGCACGCGCACCACAAGAAGAAAGAACGTGTCATTGTCGTGTCCTTGGAGGTAGTGCAGGCTTTTCTGCCTGCTTGCTCAGGTGCGGCATGGTGCGTAGGAGGGGAGTGAAGGTGGCGGCTAGGGTTGCAGTTGCCACCCGAGTCACCCGCGGGAACGACTCAGGGGCATGCGGCGAGTTTTTTCTCCCCTGGCCGTGAGTTTTGACTCGCAACCTTCTCGACTTGCCGTACAAAATTAAGCGCGTGTAAAATAATATTTTTCTCCATTATAAGTTGAGAACATGTGCTCCTTCTATCAAATTCACGTAATCTCCTTCCCTCAACATAATTGTGGAGTATCACTTTGTCTCTTGAATTTTACACTTTTTTTAACGCACAAGCATTCATACATACGCGCATACACTCGTGACCCTGGACTTGAACCCTGATGTGCTGGGAATATTTCTGTCCCTCTAACTATCACAATCACAAGTTGGTTCGCTTAAATTTCACATGTTGTTTCGTTAATATACTTCATGATACTATAGATATGTGGTAACAAGTTCTAGTGTGTGCGCTGGTCAGCCTAATCCTAGTTCACCTGAAGATCCGGGAAAAACGGAGCCGGAGAATCTTCTAAACCTCGGCCAGCTCCTTTCAGGAGGTATTGGAAGCCATCGTCAAGGATTTTAGAGCGTGGAAAGCCGCCGGCTGCTTCAACCACCCTAGTTTCGCCGAGGCTGTTGCTAACGCATGCCGTTGAGTTGTTTTGTTCGTGGCTTTTCAATTAGTCATCCTTTCCGAAACGCATGCGCAAGCGCGTGCCCTCGGCGCATTTGAGCTGTGAACGGATGTAACCTGCTCGTCTCTTAACTTTGTTGGTTAGGTTAGGTGGACAGTGGTATCCCCAGTCCACCAGAGTTTAAATCCTGATACTCGCACTATTTCTGGATTTATTTCAGGATTTCCGGTGATGCGCTTTCAGTGAGAGGAGACGTTTCCGTCAACGACGAGACGCCTATGGTTACTTCGTAAATCTCAAGATGATATGCCGGCTCAGTCTCTCGGATAGGGATGAGTCTACGTGTGTGCATTCATAGAGATGAATGTATGCGCGTGTATATGAGCGCTTGTGTCTGTACTGATGCTAAAAAAAACTTTGTTGGTAGACGTGTCGCCATGGTCGGGTCGGTCTCTTCGCGGGAACTGCTGGGTTAGGTCGAGCGTCTTTGTTTTATTCGACGCGCTGTTGGTGTTCTCATCCTGTTCCGTACTGATTTTTTTGCTTGCTGCGTAGGCCAAAGCGCACACACGCGCAATCGCGAAGCTCCTTTCTTTTTAATAATATAAATAATAATAATAATTTGGTAGAAGAACGGAAGTGGTAGCAGGAAACTGGACAGATTCGGGAGGACACGCGTGGGTTTTGTCCCCCGCAATAGTGGTGCGAGAATAAAGGCCTTGCGTTGCGTGTGCATGGGACATGCACACCGGCGGTACAGGTTAGGCGCGAGCGGCAGGCGACCATTTGACCGGTCCACAGGAGGATCATCGTCATTCCTGGCATGGACCACGACTACATCGACGGATGGCCTCTCCTGGAGACGCTATAGTGGTTTCTGCTTACATGCATTATTGATTCTCCCGTGTACATGAATGACAAAGAGGCCAAGAGGCTTTCGCAGTGCTGTTCGTCCCATGTTGTCTGACCGCTGAATTATGAGGCTGTAGCCAATTATTCTCTGTGGAATGTGGCCGATTGTTTTGTTTTTTTAAAGAGATGGTTGCGTTTCCTCCGTTGTGCACGGCCAATTTATTCTCTGTGGAATGCAACCCCACTTGCCGCAACTTGGCTGCAGCTGCCCGCGGGTTGGGCAAACAACGGCGCGCAAACAGAAACAGGCCTGCGACTACGAGCGTTGACCTCTGGGCCGGACGTGTCTGGGTGACGGAAAACTCGGCGGCCGGGTTGGCATGGAATGGCAGGTCTGGTGGCTTGGTTGCGACCGCGCGCACCGACGCCCCGACGACGTCGAGGAAACGTGTTGGACGTGCAACGCATGGAGCACGACGCAGGTTGCTGTTGGTCTGGTTGGCCTTGGTTGGTCTCCCGTCGTTTTTGAGGGAGGCCACAAACAATAATCCCATGGATGCTTGACTTGACGCGGCGTGGAACGATCGACCGGTCGAGAGCCTGTCCGCGTGGTCAACGTACTCGTACCCTGCTTTCCCAGATCAGGATCGGCGTGATGGGTGCGTTTCTAGTACTAATGACTATTCATTTATAAAAGATCACCCCACTGTCATAGACATGACTTCAGTAGACTTTTTTTTCTAGCTTCGTCTCTGTAGGATCCGGTCAGCGTTTGTCTGCGGTGGATTCTTCTAGACCGGTCTTCGTTCGTCTACGTCTATGTGTCTGTAAGTTGGATCCTTTCGATTTATGCTTCTCTTCATCGGTGCGGTTGTTGTTCTGATGTGGTTGCTGTTCTG